GGGGTCCTGACATAACGCACTTCCCTGCCGCTTCAGTTCACAAGTTGCTATTTCACTGTTATGTCGGTTTTTTATGAATCAGTTAATAAAGTGAACTAGGGGATACCATTTGCTGGAGCATGTTCCTCAATTTTCACTAAGTCGACCATATATGCTGGATCTGTTTTCGCGAACTCATATTTTATCAGAGGTGGAAGAACACTTGGACGAGTGCCGCTCGCATGTGCTGATGTTGCTGCCTGAAATACGTTATTTTTCGAAGAAGTTAATTATAGCAAAAGTATAGCATATTTTTTCAAGCTCACATTAACAGAAGTGTAAAACAGTCATGTCTCAAGTGGCAAGTAGTGCCTGCTGTCAAGCAAAAAGTCACTGACAACCAATTCCTCTACGGTTTATTCATTTGTTCTGATGGTAGACTGGTATCAGCAAGTACGAAGTTATAGAGAAATAAACAGAAAAAATTTTTATCACCAACTTGTAAAAAAGTATCACAGCCTAACAGGAAATAAAATACTAAGCCTAACAGCAGATTAAATAAATAGCGGTACGCACCGGTGTAGCCGGTGAGATCATGCGTTTTGCGTAGTTCTGCCCAGTGGGTAGCTGCTCTTAGGAATATATATTACTTCACAATATGGTATGCGCAAAAATACGAAACTTCACATGCCCAAGCATGAAACCTAGGCGTACACAGAGTTGGAATGGAAATTGTAGGTTCGCACATAAACCGAAAACATCCTCTAACAATTTTAGTCCTCTATTTTGTCTTGTCCCCGAATTAAAAACTCTGCGCGTAAAAACCCACGTGTAAATGTAAGCTGCATTTGAGATACCAGAGTTGTACATTTCATACTAAATTTTCCGCTTTTAATCCTGCTGGTTCCCGAGTGAGAAAACTGTCCGTACATGAGACTTAGGCGTAATTAGAAACTGAGTTTAAATTTTTGGGACCACACATAAACTTGAAATATTACTTTAAAATTTCAGCTTCCTAGCTTTTGTGATTTCCGACTTATTGGTTTTGACGTCGAGTTTTCACCTAATCGTCCGTGAAGCCAAGGCATACGTGAAGGCTGAATTTAAGCTTGCGGAGTCGCAAGAGAGCAAGGAACAC